ACACAGCAGCCAACCAGTTCCTCTGGAGGTTCAGCAACAGGGCATAGAGGCCAAGACCTTCATGAGAACATCAGAAGAGCCCTGCTGGATCAGACCAGTGGTCCATCTGGTCCAACCTCCTGTCTCACACAGTGGCCAACCAGCTCCTCTGGCAAGCCAACAAGGCAGAGGGGCTGAGGCCTTCCCCTGATGTTTCCTCCTGGCTCTGGGTTGGGTAGGCTGAGCATGTGGGGTCACCCAGTGAGGTTCCATGGCAGAGCGGGGATTTGAACCCGGGTCCTAGTCTGACACTATAAACCAGTACACCTAGCTGGCTCTTTGACCAGGGCAAGAATCTCTTTTTCTTATATTTATTAAGAACATAAGAACATAAGAGATGCTAGTCTGACACTATAAGCCAGTACACCTAGCTCGCTCTTTGACCAGGGCAAGAGTCTCTTTTTCTTATATTTATTAATTCATTTACGTTATTTATAGTCCACCTTTCTCACGGGGATGAGGCCGATGACACAGAGTGAGTCACAGATAAGAGGGACCTCCTCTTTCACCAATAACAAAAAAGATTCCTGGGGAAAAGAAGAGGTTAACAGCAAAAGGGGCTGGGGAGAATGAATAGAGAGGTAACTAAGCTTTGCCCATCCATGTAAAGAGCACCTTCCTTTGTGTCTCCCTTAAATATCAGGCATGCCCAACTACACAACCCAATAACTCTGACTCTAGGAGTGGTCCATCAGTGGCTATGAGCCACAAGGTATAGATGGAAAACTGTGTCTGGGGCAGTGATGCTCTGAATTCTTGGTTCTTGGGGGGTGGGGCAACAGTGGGAGGGCTTCTGGAGTTCTGGCCCCATAGGTGGACCTCCTGATGGCACCCGGGTTTTGGCCACCGTGTGACAGAGTGTTTGAATGGATGGGCTGTTGGCCTTATCCAACATGGCTTCTCCCATATTCTTATATGGAGCAGAGGTCCATCAGTGGCTCTCAGCCACAAGGTATAGAGGCAGTGATCCTCTGTATTCTTGGTGCTTGGGGGGGCCACAGTGGGAGGGCTTCTGGCCCTACTGGTGGACCTCCTGATGGCACCTAGGTTTTGGCCACTGTGTGACTGAGTGTTGGACTGGATGGGCCATTGGCCTGATCCAACATGGCTTCTCTTATGTTCTTATAAGAGGGAATCGGATAAACATATGGAGCAGAGGTCCATCAGTGGCTATTAGCCACAAGGTATAGAGAGGAACTCTCGGTCTGGGGCAAGGGATGCTCTGTATTCTTGGTGCTTGGGGGGCGGTCAACAGTGGGAGGGCTTCTAGTGTCCTGGCCCCACTGCTGGACCTCCTGATGGCACCTGGTATTCTAGGCCGCTGTGTGACTGAGTGTTGGACTGGATGGGCCATTGGCCTGATCCAGCATTGGCTTCTCCTATGTTCTTATTCCAGTGGGAAACCATTAAAGGGGGTGCCTATTGTTAAACGTCCAAGAACAGAACAACAGCTTGCAAATCCGCACTCACTTCTCAACTCGGTTCCCTGATTTGGCAGCTAATGTTGGCTCTACTTAACAGACAAGGGTCTATCGTTCCCAGGACCGGGCTCTGGCGCTAAGCTTCCTGTCCCAAGGTGATGGCATAACTAAGGAGGTTTTCTCCTACAGCTGAGGGTACATCTCTGGGGACATGTTTTCCCCTTCTCCTACTGTCAGGCATCACCACCACATTCTCTTTCCGTCTCCGCAGGCCAAATACTTGGCACCCATTCGGCATGGACGCTCCTCCTGGGTACTTCAGTCAGATGCCGGTTCTACCCATGGCAGAGGGGCTGTGGCTCAGTGGTGGGGCATCTGCTTGGCATGCAGGAGGTCCCAGGTTCAATCCCTGGCACTTCCAGTTGAAAAGATCAGGTGATGTAAAAGACCTCCATCTGAGACTCTGGAGAGCAGCTGGCAGTACGAGTAGACAATACAGTGACCTTGACGGTCCAAGGGTCTAACTCTGAGTAAAGCGGCTGCATGTGTCCAGACATAAAGCCGGCACGATGGGTGGGCCGGCCGCTACCGGAGAAGCACAAATCCGCCACCTAAGAACAGTCCCCAGGGGCTTTCCAGATACTGCATCGATTCCTAACCCTCCCAGAAAGGTCACTGCGATTTATTCCATGCTCTGACACCAAAAGGGGCCTGCCTGCACCACAACTGTGCGCACCGTTTTTGCATGGTGTTACACCATCCGTTTGGCGGAGAATATTCAAGAAGGGGGGGTGTTCCCTCTAAGCTGAGTTAGTGTGAGCTAGCTCAGTTTTTTTAGCCTCCAGCTCACACACTTTTGTCTTTGCTCAGGAAGGAGGGCTCCAGAGCAAACTAATTCCTGCAGCAGCCAAATCACCTGCTCACAACTTTAATGCCAGCAGCGCACAAAGTAGAATTTTTGCTCACAAGACTCCACAGCTGAGAGGGAACACTGGGAGGGACCCGGTCATGTGGGTCTGACAGAAGGGCTCTTTGGGGCGACATGCAAGATCGCCGCCTGGCCGGCATCCTTTGGCGAGGAGGCACAGCCGCCGCTGCAGCTGAATCCGTACTGAGCATGTGCTATCTGCTGAGTGGGAATGCTAATATCCAAGCCAGGGGAAACAAGCAAAGGTGGAGAACCTGCCTCTTTGGAGGTTTTGTTTCTTCTGTCAAAGAAAACCTTGAGGGGCACCCACTTGGGCACCTGTAGGGATACCCAGCGTCCTCCATCTCCAAAGATATCCTGCGTCCATCATCTTGGGGTGAGGGGATGAGGAATAAAAGGGGGGGGGACAGGAACACCCCAAGAAAATCTCTCTCCCCAGCTCTGTGGTTTTTGCCTGCCTGCATTCAAGGACAGGGCGCTGCCTTGGACGGAGATGTCCCCGATCTGCTCTTTGTCTTCTGCATTAAAAAGAACCAAAAAAACAACAACACCCCACCCTGGAAAACCTTCCAGGGTCATCTGCACTCCCGTCTCCCTGGGATTCCTGAGGGGGGGGGGACATTTGTGCTAGATCTGATCCCAGGGAGGGGGTGGGTGGGAAACAGACTGGAAATGGCTCTCCAAGGCAAACCAAACAGCTTTAACAACCCTGTCTCCTTGTCAGCAAATTGAAATTTATTGTTTTGAGGGGACAAGGGTGGGGTGGGGTGGGGAGGGACGGAAGTGCCATATCGCTGCAGGGCACCAGATGGGGGAAGGCGCCTGGTACCCAGACGGGACCCACACCCCTCCTCGCCCCTTCCCGGCAGACTCCTACGTTGCAGCTGAACCGGAGCCACGATGGCGCTTCGAGGAGTGAAAGATTTTGTGTTTTTTTTAATATTTATTTTTAATCTTTTTATCTATACATCAACAATTTGCAAAAGCAATAACGAATGAACAAATACAGCATCGTATCATGTAAATACAGCATAAATCGGGAGTCATCATTAGTCGTATATGAATTTGACAGTAACTGTTCATCACTTGTGTTTGCCAAGCCTATCTGCGAATTTTTGTCACAACCTAACTTCTTTGGAAACCTTACATCAGGGTACGTACCAAATTAAAATACTGCTATTATTTCTTTGTCGCTATTGGCAGTGCTCCCTCTAAGCTGTGGGGTCCTGTGAGCCAAAATTCTACTTTGTGAGCCACTGGCATTAAAGTGGTGAGCGAGCGATTTGGCTCCTGCATCAATTAGTTGGCTCTGAAGCCCTCCTTCCTGAGCTAAGACAAAAACGTGTGAGCCGGAGGCTAAAAAACTGTGAGCTGGCTCACACAAACTCAGCTTAGAGGGAACACTGGCTATTGGGTAGGGACGATTTAGGTACGCTGGCGTCTTCGGTAGTCGCCTCGATGAAAGGGAGCCGTTTGGAATACCATTTGGAATCGCCTGCCTTTGCTTTCTCCCTCTTCCCCCCTTTTAGTCGAATACAACAGAACGTGGATTTCCTAGCACGAATCAAGCATCTTTAAAATAATAATAATAATAATCATTCTGGCACGATTCTAAGGACATGCAAAGCTGGTTTTGAAACCTGGTCCCTTGACACCTCCTCTGCACCCACCC